CATCCGTCAGGATAATAAAAGGCAGCAAAATTACAACACAGGCAGGAATAAAAGAAAGGAAGAAATGTTCTCTTTTCCCTGGTTAGAAACTAGACTAGAAACCTGAATAGAGAACAGTATGTTTTTAAATAGTTCCTCTGCATTGTGGGAATTAAGTAGTGCTTTTATAGCCGCTTCATTTGAACTATTCATAGGTTCAAGGCAAACAAGCATTCAGTGTAAGCTTTTTAGTTTCTACTACAGTGTTCTGTTTGGAATAATAGCCAGCCAGGTGAAGATCTGAAGATCATTTTTTCTGAAGATCTTTTTTTTTCCTACCAAAGCTTATTTTTGTTTTTTGTTTGTTTGTTTTTTTAAGTGGAAGGCTGGTATGTTGCATATCAAAATGCTGCCTCCAGTTCTCTCTTAGGGGCTGTTCTCACACAATGGCAGCATTAGACAGCAAAACATGGTTTAATTAACTCATTCAGCCAGTGGGTTATTTAACCCATGATTTGCAAAGATGTGCACAAGCATTTGCTGCTTTCAGTTTGCAGTAACAACCCCATTTGTAGGTTGTTAGTGTGACATCCAAACCCAGGGACTTGTGTTAAACAACCCAGAGTTAACCCTCATTCTTAGGTTAACTTTGGATTGTTTGATCCACAAATGACCCAAAGTGTTGGAGTTTGGATGTCATGCTAACAACCTATGAATGGAATGTTTGAAGGTTGCTGCTGCTAACTGGAAGTGTCTCACACAGTGTCTATCCCCACAAAGTATGAAGTTAAGAAGCCACTATTATTATTTATAAATTAATAACTAATTGACAGTTAACCTACAATTTGCTACTGAATGTCATTGTTGTATGCAAACCTGAACTTAGAGTGGTTTTGTGTTTTGAGAGACCCCACAGTGTTTTTTTCTTGGATTTTTGAATGCTACAGTTAGATTAAAACACTATTTTGATGTGTTTTGCTCACAAATTATAGTGGACTTCATTTATAAATAGATAAATAAACAATATCAGTTTTTAGAGATCACTGAAACTAACATTCTACTAACCCAAGGAGGAACATTTTTAATGAAAATATATGCATTCAAAAATGACTTTTCATGAAAATAAGTGTATTCCAACGGGTGTGAAAGTTGGACAGTGAAGAAAGCTGACAGGAAGAAAATTGATGTATTGAAAATTTTTTGTATTTTTGTATTTAATGGTAATTTATTATGTGCTATTGTATTTCAATGTATTTTATGGTGTTGTAAGCCGCCCCGAGGTTTTGGCAAGGGGCAGCATAGAAATGTTATGATGATGATGATGTGTTTGAAACATGGTGCTGGAGGGGAGCTTTGCTAATACCCTCACTGACAGACGAACAAGAGAGTCCTAGACCAAATCAAGCCAGAACTTGCCCTGGAAGCAAAAATGATAAACATGGAAATAAGTCAGAAGGGGTCTCCCAGGCCATCTAGTCTGACCCCAGGCTCCAGCCAGCTCCATTCATGTAATCCCCAACATGTGGTAATTTTCCAATCTTTCTTTGAAATGACACTGTCTTACTTCAGACACATTGTGAAAAGGGGAGACGCACTGAAGAAGACCATCATGCTAGGGAAAGACAAAAGCAGAAGAGGAAGGCAAAAGAGAGAGAGAGAGAGAATGGGAGAGAGATGGATTGGCTCCATAAAGGAAGTCACAGCCTCCAACTTGGAAGAGCTGGGTGGGGCTGTTCCAGGACTTTTTGGAGGGCTTTCATTCATAGGATTGCCATAAATTGGAGATAACCTGATAGTACATCACAGCAACAACATACGTATTCCAAAGGGCCTGTGGAGCTCCTTTAAATGGGCAGACTTTAAAAAATAAGCATGTCGGAAGCTTATCTTCATATCTTTATTGCTTACTTTCAATCCTGTTTTTATATTTTAATAAGGTTGGATCCCACTTCAGTCACAGCTTGAATAGATCGATTAAAATCAGTGAGACATGAGTTAGTAATGCTTGTCTCACTGACATCTCAATCTGACCCATAGTCTTTTAAAGTATTTTTGGATGTTGGTATTTCTTGTTAGTGAAACTGATTTTTTTTGAAAATGGAAAAAGCAAAAAAACAAAAAAAAAAAAAAAAACAATTGGGAATAAATATGCTTTAATCTGTGGAAATTGAATTGAGTTGTTATCCCTCCTCTAACCTCTGCATAGATTCATGCTAACCATCCTTGGAGGGTATACAGGAGGTCAAGTCTAAATCAAGACATGGTGGTTCTCCATTTCACACTTCCTCCCCCCCCCCCCCCCCAATTTTACTGTGACCCAGGGCTTTTGACCCCAAACTCGACTCAGGCTTCCCAGATGAAGCTGGACGAGGAGTCATCCACACATCTCAAGCTAGAAGAGGATCCATCTCTACAGATGCAGGTTGAAGAAGAGACCTTGGTTCAAGTCAAGCTAGAAGAGGAACCATTTGTCCAAGAATTTTTGCAAGAAGGGCCATCTGTCCAACCCAAGCTAGAAAAGGTACAGTATGCTCCCCACAAGCCTGAAGAGGATTCCTCCACCCAAGTCAACCTAGAAGAGAAACCATTCATTCAGAGGCTTCTAGAAAAGGAGACATCAATCCAGTACAAGCTAGATGAGAGGCCATCCGCTAACCCCAGTCAAAGCAAAGAGCTCTCTATCCATGTCAAACTTGAAAAGGACTCCTTCATCCAGGTCAAGGTGGAAGAAGATTCCTTCCTCGAGGATGATCAGTTTTCTGGGGCAGAGGAGGCAAAAGGAATATTTTATGAAGGTGAGGATAATCCAGCCACGTATCCATAATTACATCTTGAGTATATGCAGATGATGTTAATGTATGAGTGGGGGTTTGCAGAAGGAGATTGAGTTGAGCCATGGTCTTGCGTAGCCTGTACAGAGATTGAGGGGTAGAACGCAGCTAAAGAGAAAAAACCAAGAGGAGAGTCCAGAAAGAAGCAGGAGTGAGTTCTCCTCAGGTTACAATGTTTAATTGATAATCAGCAAAAATGGAGGTTGCTGAGCCAGGTTGATGTTTTCCAGATGCTTTCTGGAGCAGAGAAGATGATGGGAACAGGTGCCGTGTTGATTGGGCTCTAGATGGTTCCTTGGTGGATCGGAACCTGAGAGGAGGTCACAGGCCAACCTAAGGAGTGTTGGCACCCTGGCTGGCCAGAGGGGAAAAGAGGAAGATGGACTGATGGGCTACTGGTTTGATCCAGCATGGCTCTCCTAATGTTCTTAGCCACAATGGCTACATGCAGCCTCCATGATCAGAGGCAGCATACTTCAGAGACAGGGCAAGTCACACAGGAGGGCTGTTGCCGTCGTGCCTTATCTGTGAGCTTCCCAGAATCACCTGTGGAGAGTCAGATGCTGGACGAGGTGGCCCACGGATCAGCTCAGATGCTACAAGGCCCTGTCTTTTCCCCTGTGGCTAACCAGACTCCCTCAGGGAGCCCATGCCCAGGGGCACGAAGGCAAGAGAACTTTGCCGTGGTTGCTCTCCTGCCCATGGCCAGGGTGCCAACACTCCTTAGGTTGGCCTATGATCTACTCTCAGGTTCCGATCCACCAAGGAACCATCTAGAGCCCAGTCAACACGGCACCTGTTCCCATCAACTTCTCTGCTCCAGAAACATCTGGGAAACATCAGCCTGGCTCAGCAACCTCCATTTTTGCTGATTCTCAGTTCAGTGTTGCAACCTGAGGAGGAACAAGCTCTGCTTCTGTCTGAACTCTCCCCTCTTCTGCTCCTGGAAGCCCACGTTCATCCAATGCAGGGCAAGAGAAGTGGCAGGAGCAATCTTCACTTCCCTGCCCTCCTCACTCCTAGAAATCCAAGAATGGTCATCCAGTAAAGGTGCTTTAAAGAGGAGAGAAGGCAGCTAAAGCAGCTTCAGCTTCACATCCTAGGCACTCCTCCTTTCTCCATGTCCTTTGAACCTTGTATTCCTAATTTTGAAGAACAGCCAGCACGGTTCATTCTGTGCCACCTGCAAGGGATTGAGTGAGAGGGGCTGAATCTCCAGCACCCAGCTCTGAGTTTGGAGGGCTGTCCCAACCTGAAGGTGGAAATCTTACCTTGTGGCCCCCGGGACAAAGTTCAGGATCATTTCCAACATATTTTGCTAGAAATATTTAATCCTTAAAGTACTAATTGTTTTGAAGCTTCATATAATGTATGGATTGCCATGTAAGACTTGCTTACTGTTCTGGTTCCATAAATTAAATGATCCCTTGTTTCCCTGCAATACTTAGGATTTAATATGACTGAAGATGCAACTATATCTGTTGTGTGCTGGGTAATGAGATCTTTATTTGAAGTGTTATTTTTATTGAAGAATACTTGTCCTCTTTTTCCTCTGGAACAGGAAACAACACTTCAATGGATTTTCCGATAGCTGAGAATTTTGGAGAGAGTCTTCAGAGAGGAGGCACAGAGCCAGAGAGACCTCACTGGACATCCCTGAATCTCATGCTGACAGATTTTAGGAATCAAGAATATTACCATCAATGCACAAGACAGCGGGTGCAGCAGCCAGCAAAACATAGGAAGGAATCTCTGTTGGGAAGCAGCTCGGCCTTTAGCAACAACACACTATCTGCTAAAGACAAACGTCATATATGTACCGATTGCGGGAAAGGTTTCCAACAGATGTCAAAATTAATTAGACACTGTCAAGTCCATACAGGGGAGAAACCATTTGAATGTTCAGAATGTAAGACAAGATTCCAGAGGAAAGATAAGCTTCTTCAGCATCACAGGATCCACGTGGAGGCTAATCCCAACCAATGCTCAGAGTGTGGAAAAGGCTTTGCAGAAGCAGAATTGCTTATTGCACACCAGGAGAGTCATACAAGGGAAGGATGCTATTGCTGCTCCATCTGTGGAAAATCTTTCAAGCAAGAGAGTTCTCTTCAGGTTCATCAGAGAACTCACACAAAGGAGAGAACCTCTTTGTGCCATGAGTGTGGGATAACGTTCTGCAGTGCAAAGACAATGAAGAGACACCAGAGAATCCACATGGAAGAGAAACCTTATCAGTGCCCAGAATGTGGGAAGAGCTTCCGGTGGAAGGACAGCTTCCGGTTGCACCAAGGAATGCACACAGGCAATGGGCCATATGTGTGCTCTGATTGTGGGAAAGGTTTCCTCCAAAAGGGACTGTATTTGTCACACCAGAGAATTCACACTGGAGAGAAACCCTTTGTGTGTTCTGAATGTGGCATAAGCTTCCGTGAAAGAAGGTCATTAAACAGACATCAAAAAATCCACACAGCACAGATATTCTATGAATGTTCTGAGTGTAAGAAAGTTTTTCTTGAAAAGAAATATTTTCTTATGCATCAGAGAATCCATACAGGAGAGAGACCCTATGAGTGTCCTGATTGTGGAAGAGCCTTCTGTAACCAACAGACATTGAACAGACACAAGACAATCCACACTGAAGAGAAACCACATGCATGCCCAGAGTGTGGAAAACTGTTCCGACGGAAGCACCACCTTCTGTCACATCAGAGAACCCACACTCGAGAGAAGCCATATGAATGTGCTCAGTGTGGAAAAACCTTTCGAGAAAAAGGTGCATTAACTATCCACCAACGCATCCACTCAGGAGAGAAACCCTATCAGTGCCCAGTGTGTGGAAAAAGCTTTGCGTGGAAGGGCTTTCTTGTGTCACATCAGATAACTCACACCCAAGAGAAGCCTTATGAGTGCTCAGAATGTGGGAAAAGCTTTCGACGAAAGGCGAATCTTCTGTCACATCAGTTGACCCATTCTGGAGAGAAATCTTTCCAATGCCCACAGTGTGGGAAAATCTACCGGTGGAAGAAGAATCTTCAATTGCATCAGAGGACCCACACTGAAAATGGTCCTTATGGATGTTTGGAATGTGGGAAATGTTTTCGGCTGAAGGGATTACTTGTTTCACATCAGAGAACTCACACTCAAGAGAAACTCTTTGCATGTCCTGAGTGTGCAAAAACCTTCTGCAATAGAAAAACATTGACAAGACATCAGATAATCCACACAGGAGAGAGACCCTATGAATGCACTGAGTGCAGGAAAAACTTTTTACGAAAGCACACACTTACTGAACATCAGAGAATCCATACTGGAGAGAAACCCTATGAATGTCTTGAATGTGGAAAAAAGTTCCGATTAGCGTGTTTGTTGCTTTCACACCAGAGAGTCCACCAAAGGAAGAAACATCATGAAATCCTTGAATGCGATAAAGAAACTCTTCCAGTAGACAAAAGAACCCAGATAGTGAAAGCCCAGAGTGACACAAGTTTGGAAGAACCACCCACAGAAGATTAGAGTGATTGAATCCACACATGGAAGAAAGCCTGCAAAGATTTCAGAGCAATGAAGAGATTCTCAGGAATCATAAAACAGAATACGAAAAAAGTCTGACAAAAGGTCTGGCCATAGGGAAAACTTTTGCTAGTCAGCTAAAAACGATACAAACTCTCATAGTCTGTTGTTCTTATAAATTTTGTATTTGGAGTTTAGTTTTAGGATTTTCCAATTTTGTATCTTGGTGCATTTTTATCTTTGTTAATGTTTGTGAATTTCATTAGGAGCTTACTGGTCTGTCAAACAATGCTTTAAGGAATAGATTAAGTAAACAAACATAGCAGCACTGATTTGTTTTCTCCTCCATAGCTAATAGCTTCAGAGAGCAGGGGAAAGAATTTAAGTTGGGGAATCAGCACATGAGCATACAATTAAATATTGTCAATCTGAATTGGTCTCCCTCCATTGTTCCTTCTGAAGAAGAAAATAAAGAATTTCAGTCATGGAAGTCCCATTTGTGTTAGAACACGCTGGTACTTACTTTTGAGTATATATGGATGTTTGCATTGTTGAAACAGAAATGAAGAAAGTCCACTGCAGATAAAGCAGCAGTGACCTTCTATACAAGTTTACTTGGAAGTAAATCCCTGAATTCCAGCAGGAATTACTCCCAACTAATTATGCATAGGGCCGACAGTAAATTTCATTAAAAACTCTTAGCTTTTACAAACGGTAGCAGGTCACTGTGAGGCAGGCATGTGGGGAAAGAAAAATACTGGAGGCTTTTCCTTTTGCCAGGATGGCAACCAAAAGTTATCAAAATCTCGGAAGCAGAGTTGGATGGTAACCTCGAGGTCATCTTGTCCATCCCCCTAGTAAGTGCAGCTATCTGGGGGCCCTTTGTGGTCACAACTACACCATACAGTGTAATATTAGTTGCATTGCTGAATAATATGTACATGATATTTGATTATTTTCCAGCCACCTTCCTCAAAGAAGCACAGAGCAACTTATGAGAGATACCCAGGGGTTGTAAGCAAAACATATTTTAAAAGAACCCCAAGACTGGCTCCAGAAATATTGCCTTTCATGGCAAAGAAAAAATTTACCAGTCCAATCACTTCAGACTTCATTTTCACTTCAAATGAGCTAAACAAAAATTAGCCAAGTAGTCAACCTTGGTCAAGTGTTTTGATTCAGTCATGTGGACAGTTGGTGACCTTGTTTGGACATCCATCTAACTGCAATTCATAGGTTAATTAACCCCCAAAATTGTGTGGTTGCATGTGAACTGCTTTCAATTTCCAGGAAAGGTCTAGGAATGCAGCATTTGATGGTTGTTTCCATGACAATCAAACACCAGCACCTGGGGTTGTTCATGGTTTAAACAACCCTGGATTAACCCAAGAAAAAACCAAAAGTTTCAAGTTTTGTGTGCTTTTTAGTTGTTTTAGTTCTCACACTATAGCACATCGTTTTTGACTGCTTTGCAACATAAGCTGAATACATATACAAAAGTAGAACTAAACTGTTATTCTGCCTCCTGACTTTCTTACCCGAAGCACCTACTGGCCTTTCCTGAGTTCTCAGGGGGAAATTCTGCTTTTTGGATTTTTTTTCCCATAGCATTACATTTTCCCCTTAGTCTTTCAGTGAAAATTTCAGCCAGGAGGCATAGCTTTTCTTCAAAAAGCTTGTTAGAATCATATCAATTCAGACTAATGCAGACATACATCTTAATATTTCATTTGCTTCTCTGTGAAAGTGGTAACTTAGGAGAATTGCCCCTTAAGAGAAAATCATGGAAGAGCAATCATGCTTTAATTTGGATAAATATTTGCAAATTGGACTATGTGATATGAATCTTCATGGCAGGGCTGACCCTGACATCACGTTGGAGGCACGTTGGAGGTCATGAATTCTTAAAAAGATACCCACAGTGCAATGGAACTGGGACTTCTGGCACTTTGCATTTTGGGAAAACGAGAGCTATAGGCTGTGCAGCCAAGGAGAAGAGAGCAGGAAAGGCCAAGTATAGCACGCTAGCAGAGAAAGTACATCTGTGCAAGCATGCCACAAAGAGGTGCAAGGGCTTCTTGACAGGTTACAGCATGTTCAGAGGTGATGGAAGGGGTCAATAAAACAGGGAAACTTGCAGCACCCAAAGGGGTAGCAAATAACTCAATTTAAAGAATCATCATTCCCGAATGGGTCGGCAACCCGTGGCTCCAGAGCCACACGTGGCTCTTGAACCCCTCTGCTGTCACTCAAAACACACGCCAGCATAGCCACCGATCTGCTCAAAGCTCCACTCAGGAACAACTAACTAGTTAAGTAAATCAGCCAGTTAAGTAAATTGCTACATTCCTCTGCTAAACAAGCTTCCTGCAGGCTCTTGTCACACCGATCCGCAATTCACAGGCTCGGAAATCAGTTTCTTGTCAGGGCAAATAGGTTTATTTACAATTGAATGCATGGATCCATGGGTGCCTAAGAAGGAACATCCCATGTTAATTTCCTTAGGGTTATATAGGATACACAAAGGAAGGTGATTGGATACTTTGATATGGATAGGAAAGTGATTAGATACATGTCACAGCAGCATAAAGGAAAGTTACATTTCACTCTAATTAGATGCCTTTGACAGGCCTTCTAAACTAAAGATACCTTGAACAGGCTGGCCAAGTTAAGTAAACAAAAAGGTTACATGTGTGAACTTACAGGGTTAGGGAGGCACTTTAGCAAGCCTATGAAACACAGAGATTACACTTTGACCATTACTAATGGAGTGGGGTCATCTGGTCTTCACCACCCGACACCGAGGCCTCTTTTGATGTGTTTATGGCAAGGCAGTGAGGTGGGATGGTAAGAATTGTTTTTCTGAGTACACCCCTCAAGATATCTCCTCCCTCAGGACTTATACGAAGCGTCTAATTTCCCACAGTCTTCCTTGGGAAGCGGTGAGCTCTCCTTTCCTGGGGGCAAATTTGGGAGGTGTTGGGAAAATTTGGATAAAACCTGGCAGGAAAATGTTACTTATATGTGCCTTTGAGTTATAAAATGAAACCTGTACCCCTTTCTCACAAAGCACCACCTTTCCAAGCCAGGTCATAGTTTAGTGTTGCTGTTGCCTTAAGAAGATGGTATTCTTAGCTAGACTGAGAAGTATCAGGAGATACCTGTGTTCTTATCAGCTGTAGAAAAACTGAAATAGTGTTCATTTGTTTCTGAATGGGCCCACCTAGTCTCACACAGGCAAGTCCCTGCTGAGTGTGTTTGTCAAACCAGACTTCTGAAGGATTCCTCCATCAGAAATATCTGCATGTTTAAACAGAAGGTGTCAGGCTGGGGAAAGGCAGACCTCCACTGGTGAAAAGTTCTGCAGAACTTGGGAAAATTCAGAAAAACCCTGGGAGGAAAAGGTTGCTTATAGGTGCCTTTGTGTTAAACAATCAAACCTGCTCCTCTTTCTCAAAAAGCAACAGGTTCCCAACCCGGGTTGCTGTTTAGCGCTGCTGTTGCCTTAAGAACATGACCTTCTTAGTGAACTGGGCTAGCTAGCAGCACAGGATACCCGCTTATCGCTTATTGAACCTAACCCACCCTTGCGCAAGGCACACCTACTTGCTAACTACTTTATCTGAAAGGTACAGGGTATACCCCGACCCTCTCAGAGTCAGGAAAGCATGACCATGCGAAACCAAAAACAGGAACAAGGTGGTGATAGAAATGCACAAGAAGCAGGAGCGCGAGGTCAGGCAGGGAAGATAACGTGACTAAGAGGCCTGCAAGACCCGGATGCCAGCGACGATTAGGGGTGGTCAGCAGAAACTGTGGCAAGAGACGTGCCAAAGACATACGTTAGTACTTTTCCAGAGATAAAGAAATGCTATAAAAGGCTTGTAATACCGTACATAGGAGCCGCACTTTATTAAAGTGTTGGTCCCTGCGCAGGTACAATAAAGGAGCTGCTTCTCCTCTCCACTCTGGTCTTGTGGTCTGTTTGCCAAGGACTGCCAAGGCGTCCGCTGGGATACAACACTTAGTTGGATTGAGAAGCTGCTGGAGGCTGATACTATCATGGGGAAATACTGGTGTTCAGACAGCTGAGACAAAGACACTCATTTGTCTCTGAATGGGCCCATTTAATCATCTAGCTCCACAGAGGCAAGCGCCTGCAGTGCAGTTGTCCCTGAATGGTTCCTCCATCAGACACGTTTGCATGTTTAAGCACACACACTTGAACTGTCAAGAATTTGATAGTCTGACCTATCAATACAGCCATCAGTAATGTTTTCCATACTAGTGTTACCAGTATTTCTGATTTTTCAGTATTTGGAACATTATGTCATAGCTAAAGACATCAAGATGCTATTCTACCAACATTATCTGGAAACTTAACACTCTGCATTGGTGTGCGGGACTAGCAAGTCATAAAAGTGTCTATACATGGGGTGTGATTTTGCAGTTGGTGGCGAGATCCACTAGCTGGTCGCACGCTGCAGAGGTCCTGGGTGATCTTTCAATAAAACTGAGGTTCAAGGCGAAAGGGGTCTTTCCTGACTGAGCCTGGTTTTCTTTGTTGTGGCTGCTATTGAGGTTTTCCGGACAGAGGCATGTTTACGAAATCCTTGCACTGAGCTGCAGGCTGGATAGAAGATCTCCAAGGTGCCTTCCAGCTGAGCAATTCTAGGATTCTTTGAGTGAAGGACATCTTCACAACCCTGGATGTTTAAATCCCTCCCTCTTGCAGTTACACCATTTGGAAGGAGCCTGATTAGCTTAAATGATGCTATTTGCTTTTTGTAAAACTGCTTGCTCCAGAGAGGAAAAAGGGTTGATAAAGTAAGACAAAGAGGTAGTGTGAAGAAGAAGACCCCCTACGTAAGTCTGGCACTCAGTGATCTTGCTCCCCCCTGTGAGGGGATTAGACGTAGATGCACATATGAGGTCAGACATGCAAGGGTCAAGCAGACCCTGAGAGGGGATCGGGTGAGCGAACAATGGGGGCGAGATTAAGGGGGGGGGGAAGGAAAAAGGTATAAAAAGGATGAGTTGGTGAAATGTGTGTGTGTGTGTCGCTTCCTGCCTGCGCGTAGGGAGCAGACACCCGGTGGCTTTGCTCAGCTGAATAAAGAAAACTGAACGCATCTCCGCCTGACTGAACCTCATTGGCACTTGGTTTAGTGGGTCTGTAAGTCACCTGGCTAGCAGGGGCCTCAACATTTTGTATCCATGAGGCAGTTCTCTAGATAGTTTTAGATCCTGGACTTTTGGTGCATAATTAGACCAGAAAAAAGTCCTACAACTCACAGCCACCCCATGCTTGCTTAGGAAGGCAAGTAGGATTTTTTTTTTCCTGTGCAAACACGTATGGTGTTGCACTTATGCTTTATGGGCCCCCTTTAAAATGCTTCTGAACTACTTCTATATTCCTGATTCATTAAAACTACAGCTACAGCAACAAAATGGTTTGCCAATCTTGATTTTTTTCCCCTCCAAACATGTCTTTCAGGGGGTGCGATGTTGCATTTTAAATGCATTTAAATCGGCACCGTCATGACTGCCAGAAGACAACCTGCAGGGTTGTGTGGGTCCACCCTGGGCCACGGACTCCTGCTCTTTGCACAATTGCAAGCAGCCAAGGAGAAAGGGCAACGGGAGGAAGGAAAACGCTGCGTCTCATATTCACGCGAAAGAAGAGCATTACAGCTGGAACTCTCACGCGAATGGCCACTGCAGCTTTCCCTGCGTTGCAAAGGCATGCCATGCAAGGCGGCTAAAAACCCGATTTTTTCAGAACCATTCTGGGGAGAGGGGGCCGGAAGTGTTACAGAATTTACATTCCCCTTGCACGTCATATTTCCGCCCTCTCTAGGATTTATAACGCGGATAGTTTAACCCTTATTGCGCTGCAGATGACTGCGGGGACGGGTGGCTCCCTCGGGGAGAAGCGACGTAGATAAAACCTGAACTCCGGACGCAGAGAAGCTTCCAAGATTTCAGGTTGCTCTTTTATTTTCTCCTCCTCCTCCTCCTTTTGGCCACGGGCCTCTTTCTTTCTCAGCTGCGTCGTGGCAGGCAGGAATATGAAAGGTGATTGGAATGCCCTCTGAGCATATGCAGAGGGTATACCCTTTGGGAGGCGGCCATAACTTGGGGGCAGGGCTTTGCATGCAGAAGGACTGAGGGAGTAGAGGCACTCTGAACATATGCAGAGTGCATTTTCTAACTTTGCATGCCAAAGGTCTCCAGGAACGTAGCGAGGGGCAAGACCCTTGTTCGCAGGGGCAGTTTTAGATACCGGAAAGATCCGGGACTCAGGCTCATGGGACGCACGCACTCACGCACGCAGGAACAAATTTGTATCTGCTATTTTGCATATGCGCTAAATTATCTAAAGGACCCTGCCTCCTAAGGACACCCCTATTTGTAAAAACAAGGTTGCTTGAGCAGGGGAGAGCATTGGATGAAATGGATTGATTCTGTACAAGAAGCCACCTCCTTGAACCTGGAAGAAGTTAACGGAGTTGCCGTGGGTGGGACATTTTGGAGAGCTTCCATTCATGGGGTCTCTGTAGATTGACAATGACTTGACAGCATTTAACCACAACGACAGAGAGGTCCAAAATTAGGTGGGGAAAGTGGGCAGAGAGGCTCCCCCCGCTTTATTTTTCCTTTTCCCATAATAGTTGTGATGTGCGGCCAGACTGTCTCCAACTCCAGTGAGAGTCCCCCAAAATGCCCTATCCATGGCAGCTCTGCTAAGCTTTTGTAAAATCAAGGCTGTGGCTTCCCTTATGGATCCCATCCATCTCACCTTCTTCTGCCTTCAACTTTTCCTAGCATGATTGCCTTCTCCAGGGGGTTTTGCCTTCTCATGATATGCTTTTCCATAATATGAGAACCCGTCTGAGGAGCTGGTTGCATGATATTCAGCACGGATAAGAGGATAAAGTATGGTGCACACTTCCACAAGATAAGAGGAGGGACTTCTCCATGCTATCCATCCGCAAAGGATGGAATTCACTTACTCCAGATGTAGTGATGGACACCAGTTTGGATAGTGGCTTTCAAAAAGGATTGGACAAATTTCTGGAGGAGAAGGCTATCCATGGCCGCTAGTCCTCATGGCCATATGTTAAGTCTATCATCGGAGGCAGTATGTGTACCAGTTGCTGGGGAACATGCTTGAGCCCGCCGTTGCATTCCTATCCCGCTTGCGGATTTCCTGTGGGTAGCTGGTTGCGAACAGAATGCAGGACTAGCCGGTCTGTTCCAACAGAATCTTATATTCTTAGTGTGGAAATGCATACAAATATAACGAACCAGCAGTGTGCTAGCTGGACATTGAAAGAATCACCGCTGGATGAGAAAGCGTTTACAGAGAACAATCCAAACTGGTCTTATGATCCATAAAATCTTTATTTTATGGGTTAAAGTCTGAGCAGTGAAATGTCTTCCTCATCTTAGTTAGAAACATCAACTTTGTTAGAAGATTCACAGCCTTTCTTTTTAGGCTTCAGCCTTGTCTCTGATGTGGAAGTCTGCCCTGCCAAACTCAGTGGAATTTATTTCTGAGTAAACATAGTTTCTTTATATCCCACCTTCTCCACGGATGCCTGGTGCACAGAGAAATGCACTGAAAATATTACATCTAATAAATAAACAATAGTTCATTTTTTTTGATGCCTCTATCCATGCTTAAATGGCTATAAAACACGTTTAGGGACCATCCCCAATCCAGCAGGCTGCAGATGTGCTGGAAGACAACTCCCATTATCCCCAGCCAGCTGGGTCGGGAAAGACTGCAGTACAGGATTCCAGCGATAGGCACACAGAATGTCATCGACCAGCGGAGCACACCAAGGGTTACATTGTTCATGCTCCGGTTCCTAGAGAGGCCCACACACGCGCGCACCCACACCCACACACACAGACACGCACAGGCACTCACACGTGGTGTTGTGGGTGGGTGGGGGAATATAAATTAGGGATGGCCTCTTCCTGTCCTGGCCCTGCCTCCGCTTGTTTGGAGGAAACTGCCAGAACAACAGCGGAGTAGATGCTCACCTGGGCAGCGGAACGGACCGATCCGGTGCCCCGAAGCTCAGTGAGTTACACGCGGTTCGGCAGAAGTGAGATTTTAAAGTGCAGATGCGGTGAAAAGTGGCGAGGGCAAACCGCGTTGCTACGGAGGTGCTTCTTTCAGTCTGGCTTTCGCATCTTCTTCCAGTTAGTCCCCTTTTGGACCCAGTTCTCTTCTAGGAACATCAGAACTGGCCACATTTCCTGTGGATGAATGTTCTTCCTTCGACTGAGAGTGGCGGACAAGTTTTTTTTGTAAAGTCCTTAAAGATTAACCGATTTATTTTGGCACAAGCTTTTGTGGCTCCAGAGTCATTTTTAAGGTAGCACAAATCTCTGCGCTCTTGCTGCAGTGCTCCAAATTGTTCGCTTATTTTCCTTTTCTTTGCTTCAAGGCTCCGTTGTTTTTGCTACAGGAGAGCCTGGGCAGCTCTCTCCAGACTGTTGAGTTTGTATCATTGCATCTATATCATTTAATGCATTTGCCCTGGGGACTGATTGCAAAGAGATACTTGTGACATTGCCATTTTTGGTGGGTTTTCCCCTTTTATTCCTTTCTGTTATTAAATGTTGTAATATGCTGTGTCCTTACACCACAGGCAGGACTTGTTAAATTTGATGCTGTTTGACTAGCGGGTCACAGATGGGGAACTTAGAGATTGGATTGCAAAGGTATGCCAAAAAAAAAAAAAAATCAGTTGCAATTAGCAAATTCTCTTGGAGAACAAAGATATGATCATGTAAACATGATGGGCTACAATTTCTACAGTTTCTGTGACACCCACTGTCCACCTACAGATAATGGTTAGAGTGTCAGAGTAGGTCTGCACAGATCCAAGTTCAAATTCTACCCTAACCTACCCACAGGGTTGTTGTGTAGTCAGAATAGCTGGGTGTAGACATTGTGAATACTTCCCTGAAGTCCTGGAAGGAAAGTCCAGGTAATTAGTTGAAGTACTTAAGGACTTTAGGCTGTACTCCACTTTCAACTTCAAGGGAAACATTTATAGGACTGCACTATAAAAAAAACTCCTTGGAGTAGATAGGTCCTTCCCATAGTAGCTTCAGTTTGATTAAGCTCTAATAAGACATGGTAGAAAAGGAAAAGGGGAGGGGGAGGGAAGAGGAAAATCAACATGTGTCAACAGTTCCGTAGCATTAACATAGTTGTTATGCAGCAGAACTGGAGGAGACAGTTCTGGGAGAGGAGAAGTCCTGAATAAACTTACAGAAAAACCCTCACAGATGAGCCCTTGTAATCTTCTTGCTTATTTTTCCAGGAGTATTGATATGCCTGGCATGTAACAAGATTTATAGAAAGAAGTGTGGGTGGTGGAGAGAGAGACCTGTAAGGATGGTATATATCTGTTTTTAATACTATTTGTATGATGAAAGATGAGATGGGCTTAAGTGGAAGAGTTTTACTGAGGGATCTGATGGAGGAGGAAAACAAAGCACCAAGCAAACAAAAATATAATGATAGTTGCTCTGATGTGCTGTCAAGTTGTCTCTGACTTATGGTGACCCTGTGAACGAGAGCCCTCCAAAATGTCCAGTCCTTGGCAGCCCTACTTAGTTCCTCTAAATTCAAGGCTGCAGCTTCCTTGAGGGATTTGGTCCATCTCGTATTTAGATAATTGATTAGAATAACAGAACTTTAAACTTGGACAGGAATCTTGGAGAACACCCAGTCCAAGCTCTAATCAGTGCTATGGCATCCGGAGAGATGGCCATCCAGCCCTTACTTAAATATCTCCAGTGAAGGAGAGCCCACGGCATGATAAATGCTCCAAGGAAGGAGTTTTCTATTTGCAGAATGTTCCTGTTCAGGTTGCAGCCCTTTTCCAAGCTATGCCATTCCATTCCTCTTCACTCTGTGCATTTCTGTTCCTGCCACCCCTTCCAACAGATGCTCAGGGACTGTTGAGCATATTATTATTATTATTATTATTATTATTATTATTATTATTATTATTATTACATTTCTATGCCGCCCCTTGCCGAAGCCTCGGGGCAGCTTACAACACAGTAAGATACATTGAAATACAATATTCAGGCTTTGCTGAGCTGTTCTAGTTCTTCTCTCACCTCTGCTTAGGTTTTCCCCCAACAAACTTTTCCCCCCACTAAATTTTGCTGTCTAAGGCTATCTAAGGATTGGCACTCCAATGTTATTAATATACAGTTACACCCCCATGTCTCTTCCTTTAAATACGGGAGGAGATGAATTGTAGTCCAAATACTGTACTGACATGAGCTTGCATGATTTTACTTTGGCGTCAACAAGCAACTCAGTTTAGCAATGTGCAGTCCTTGTCATGTTCAGCCTGAAGGGGCCTACAACTCCCAGAATTCCCCAGACAGCTGTTTACCACATGTAGGGCTTTATTCTGTACAACCATGCATGGGATTATGTCCTAAATTACCCTTCAGAAGGAGATGAAGTTTTTCAAGGACTGCAGAGAATATCCGAAGTTTTACCAACAACAGGAGGGGGTGGGGGAGAGAGGAGGGGAGGCAGGCTTTGCGGTCTTTCCCAAACACAAATCCCCTCTGGTTTTTGGATTACAGGTGCCAACCAGCATTCCCCAGCCAATATGGTCAAGAATGGTGGGAACTGTAGTCCAAGGTCAGGTTTGAAAATGGCCAATGAAAATACGTTTTCTCTTCGGAATGTATGGTCAAGGATGGCCTGGTGGAGTGGGAGTGCTTGGGAACACAGCTCCACCGTTTTTTAATGGTAGAGACACTGATGTTGTTTTCCACCCCTTCTTCAAGCTTTGTTCCCTCAGAGTGTGGAAGCAGGGCCTACGAAAATCCCCCTGCCAATTGGAAAGGGACCTATTCTATCGCAGTCACCTATCCACAATTATCATCCATTCACAGTTGCCCAAAAGCCACGTATGAAATAAAAGAGAAATCTTAAGAGGCCCATCAATATTGGAAAATGACTGTTACGGTAGATCTGGCCATAAAAGAAATTTTAAAAATGCCTCTTCCCTAGAGAAAACTTCAAATTCAACTACATCAGCTCTAGGTGGTATAAACAGAAATAGAAGTGAAAACTATACGAGACCTGTTTCAGGTAAAGGCATGTTATAAAATACATGTTATAAATAAATAAAATATGACAGATGGCATGGCAGAATAGAATGGCCGGCAAAGGCAGAAAATGTGTCTTGGTAGGGAAAGGATCTTGTGTGTGTGTGTGTGTGTGTATTCCTGAAGAATCAGGAGCTATAAGTGGAGAAATGAATAAAATGGAAGCAGAAGTTGTCAAAATGCATGAATCTGAACACTCGAACCTGTGGGGTTGGTTTAGCAGCCTCTTTGGCAAGATAGGTTTATCCAAGGAATGCTCGGGTGAAAGTCCCACAACAGCAGGGTGGAAATTACTTTTCTCAGCAGAGGTATATAGTGCTCCATCTTGTGATGCACTGTGTTCTGAGCTGCCTTGGGCTTTGATGGGCAATGAGGTTTTCCAAAGATCGCTTCCTAGCAAATGGGACCCAGCTGCCTGCAGTTTTGAACTCTCCTTGGGGGCTTGGCTGGGAAGATGGCTGAGATAACAGCCTGCACAGTATCACTGTCCTTTAACTGCCAAACATCATCTTGCTTATTTACACCAGTTTGTGCCTCTTTCCTTCAGAGAACAGAAGCCCCTTTCTTGCCGATCGCCATTTTCCCACTCCTACGTCTTCAAGTGAGGTTCTTCGGATTTTGTGGGCATGACCCATAGGTCCCTCCTTTGTCACCTGGAATATTCGACCTGGTATCTAGAAATGCAAAATGTCTGTGTGACCGGCGGCACATTCTTCCCTTGCACCTCCTGGTGGTGCACCCATGGAAATGCAAGTCCTCCACACCTTGGCTAAGAACGACCTTAGTGATCCTGAACTTTTTAGTTTAGCTGCAACTACTGCAAATCTTTATTTACATATGCTGGCTTGAGAGACTTGTTTAAGACTCATTATTATTGTTGGGCTTTCCAGCTTTAAAGGGCTCCTTTTCCCCACTGTATGTGGACGTTGCCTCCCATTTCTCCATGGCAGACAAAATGGCTACCGAACCGAGGGTTGGGGGAGCCCTGAGTTACTCCTTCCAGAATGTTGTGGAACATCGGGCCACTTCCCCCAGGAAAGCAGGGGAGGAAGCTGCAGCCAGCCCTCTGGAAGTGGAAGCCGAAAAGATGATTCCTCGAGTCATTCAGGTCGGCACCATTGGGGAGTTTCTAGGCTGGCTGGCCCCGCAAGAGCTGGCTCAAAGGCCAGAGGAGGGGTTGGCCCAGTGCTGGGAAACCCAGTGGCAGGAGGTCTTGAAGGTGGTGCAGCCCCTGCCCTCTGGCTGGGGAAGCCAGCTGCAGTTGAAACCGTTGCCGTGGGACTCCTCCTGCGAGGCAGCTGTTGATAGCAGCCAGTGGCCTAGTGGAGAAGGGGTTGCCCAGCTCCTGGTGGACCACAGTGAAGATGTGCCACGAGCCTTCAGCAATGCAGGCCTCACAGAGGGCAGGCCGGTGAAGGAGACGGTTGTGGGAGAGGCGGCCGTCAGCACTGAGGTGCATCGCCAGCGCTTCAGGCAGTTCAGTTACCAGGAGGCCCGGGGCCCCCGAGAGGTCTGGAAGAGGCTTCAAGAATTCTGCCAGTGGTGGCTCACACCGGAGAAGCGGACCAAGGAGCAGATCCTGGAGCTGCTGATCCTGGAGCAGTTCCTGGCCATCCTGCCCCCGGAGATGCAGAGCTGGGTGAAGGGCCGTCGCCCTCGGGTGTGTTCTCAGGCAGTGGCCCTGGCAGAAGAGTTCCTGCAGGGACAGCAGCGAGAGGTCAAGGTAAGAGGGAGGGAGCACATTTAAGATCAGTTAATCCTGCAGGGGAGCCATCCTCACCCAGCACCAGGTTGCATGGGGTGGAGGTCAGGGGTGGCTGGTCATTAGAGAACTTAGGCAGCTTTTAAAGGGAACTGGTCACACTGATGGAGGATGCCGTCGTTATTTGTTTTTCGGCGCCAGGCTAAGACCTTTTTATTTAAGCAACATTTTAAATGCTAAATACAATTGAATTTTATCTGGCCAGGGCGGCTTATTTTATAATGTGTGTTTTAATTAAGATTATTTTATATGGATATTTTAACTTATTGTTTTATCTATGTTGTAAGCCGCCCCGAGGCTTCGGCGAATGGGGCGGCATAAAAATGTTTTAATAAATAAATAAATAAAAATGCGTCTGTTGGGCTGGCTGTGTGCAGCCTCCAGTCACAGGGAACCACAAGAGGAAGCGGCAGTTGCTCTCATGTCTTGTTTCTGGAAGCATCTACTTGGAAGCTGTGGGATTAGACCGACCTGGGGTCTTGTTGTAGGCGTGTCGCCCCCCCTTCATAGCAGATCAAGGTGAAAGGCTTCTAAAACACCACCCTTTATTGGGCTAGGCTGGCTTTGCAATTGAGTTCAGACAACATGGCAGGCCATGGTGGGTTGTTTATTATTGTCGATCTTTGTGTTGTCTGAACCCAGTCATGGTATTTCACCATGGCAAGTTTGCTCTTTTGATAAGAGTTTGATAAGAAACAATGGTTTGCTTTGATTTTGCCATACCACCCTGGCCTGTTGTATTGTCTGAACCCACAATTGTATTTTCAACAGTCCTGGAAGGCAGCTACCACAGAGTCCCAGTGGTAGCCAGGAGCCATCTAGCTTCCATGAGTAGACCAATGAGGAAGAGGCAGGCAACATAGGCAGGGAGCAATCCACCATGGGATTGAATTGCAGGCACAAGGGCTGATGGGATATATGCCAACAGTAGGAGGACTGAATGGGGAGGATGGAAACCATGGTAATGTAGAAACCACTTGATTGTTGAGTAGATTATGGTAAAAAACAACAAACCTTGGTAATTAGGCAGGGTTGTATGAACCCTGTGAGGAGCGAGAAGGAGCAAACTCATTAACAGGCAGCATCTATTAAAGTAATGACCCCTCAGATCAGTGGAGTTAGTCCTTGCCCATGTAAGGAGTGAGCTCCAAAATGGACCTGCCCCCTCTTGCCTTCCTTTCCCAAAAGGGGCTGGCTCCACCCTCAGGGAGGATCATGCTGCTCATGGACCAGATGGTGGGAGTGCCAGACATTATTTAATGGGCCTGCTTGTTTGGCTTGACTACAAACCATTGCCTTGATGAACTCACACCCCTCCCTCTCTGACCATTGTTCTCAGGGTCTCCCAGCAAACTAGAAACAGTTTAGTTTTCACTTGGCCAATCTTGTCCATTAAATTTGGCATCTCTGTAACACATTCCAACTGCTCCTCTTCTTTGTCCAGCTCACCTCCAGAGTCAGCTTTTTAGCTTGGAATGCTGCATGTTTAGAGACGTGAGCTCAGTCCCTGCAGACCTCATCCAGCACAGTCCTTTGCAGGGCCTTGGCCCAGTTTCCCAGCTCAGTCTCAACAGGTGAAATCATTCTGTGGAAATGCAACAAACGAAAGCAGTAGCATTGTGAGGACAAGGGGGCAGGGGCAAAAGACAGCCTAAGTTTGCAATAAGGGTGACCTTTGTTCGGGGCCTGTGGGGCCCACCTAAGACCTCCCGCTGCCTACGCTTGCAGTGTTGCCCCTCCTGACTCTGAGGGACTAACCCGGTGAAAATTCTCTCCGCTGTTTTAGGTGCCGAGGCCACGCGAGGATGTCGTGATGGTCTCCTCTGAGGCAGAGTGGTCTCCGTCGGACTCTGGATTGAGCAGGAACCTCAGCAGAGAAGCTCGGCTGGAGGGTCATCAGGATCACAGCTTGCCAGGTTTGCAATCGTGGCATTTATGCGTGAGGGGCCATAGCTGAGCGTTTCCGTATCTGGAGTGCGAGAACAATAACTTTATCCATCATGGTTTTGAAATGTAGTCCAGAATAATTAAAGACGCCGTCCTGTGCATAATTAGACAGGACAAAAGCTTTGTAGGACTTGGCTCCTGCTTAAACAAACATAGGATTGTGCCCTGAATTTAGTGATTTGAAAAACTTTAGAATGGTGTGGTGGTTTGTGTGTTGGGCTGGACTTGGGAGATCTGGGCTCTAGTCTCCTTTCAGCCACAGACTCATAGAATAGTAGAGCTGGGAGGGCCAGAGGGCCACTGGGTCCCACCCCCTGCTCAGTGCAGGGCTCCCAGTTAAACCATCCCTCTTGGATGACTGTCCAGTTGCATCTTGGATGCCTCCAGTGTGGGAGAGACCACAACCTCTGTGCGTCACGAGTTGCATTTTCATACCGCTCCAACAGTCAGGAATTATTTTCTGCTATCTTCCTGGAATCTGGCTTCCTATAACTTGAGCCTTGTATTCTGGGATGACTGAGAAGAGATCCTGGCCTTCCTCTTTGTGACAGCCTCTCAAGTTCTTCTGGAGTGCTACCCTATCTCCCCTCAATTTTCTCTTCTTGAGGCTAAACATGCCCAGTTCTTTGCATCTCTCCTCACAGGGCTCTGTTTCCAGTCCTTGTTGCCCTCCCCTGAACTTTTTCCAGCTGCTCTGCATCTTTCTTAAACCGTGGTGCCCAGAACTGTGGTCACAGGACTCCGGATGATGCCTAACCAGTGCTAAGGGGAGGGGAACTAGTGCTTCACAGGATCTGGAAGTGATCCTTCTATTAATGCAGCCTAAATAGCGTTTGGCCTTTTTGCAGCTGCAGCACATGGTTGATTCATGGTTGATCTACAACAATTCCTAGATCCTTCTCACTTGCAGCATGTTCCTTTCACCTTTGTGCCTTCCTTTCAGGCCTGATCTAGTTGCAGTGTTAATTCAGACTTGTCCTTTGCTCTCGAGAGCCTTCTAACCTGGGCAGGGGGTGGGGGCTTATCTTCCGGCACATCTCTTGTTGGATCTTGGCTTGCTTCATCTTGGCTTGTTTCATCTTGGCTTGTTTCATCATGGGGTTTTCAAGGTAAGACAATTCAGAAGTGGTTTGCTGTGGCCGTCTTCCGCACGGTACTAACCGGAGTTAGTTTGGACATCACAGCCATGTACTTCCTGAAAGTCTGCTCGTCTCTCTCTCCTTCTCATGTGTGGCTAGTGCTGTTTTGGCTTTGCGAGGGTTCCTACTCAAAGCAGATGCAGAATTATGGGTGCCAGTATTTTTTAAAAATCATGTTTATGCACAGTTTTGGTGCAAAAAAAATAAAAACGGTGGGTAGTTGCAAGCAACCCCTTTAAGGTGCCTCTGTAACACTATGGACATGTTTGTGTGTTAAAAGAAATAGAGTACAGAACAGAGAAACATGTAAAAGAGAAATAAAAATGCCAAGGAATCTTGCATAAATATAACACATAAATTCAGAACCTAGCAAATTCCAAAATAACAACAAGAAACATTTCTGTGTTGCTGCCCATCAGTACTTTGTTAAAGCTCACAAAAAAAGATAATTATAGTTCTCTAAACCAGTGATTTTTCTAATCCCTTCAGGTCAGTCATCAGCAATATTTTGACAAGCTTCATTCTGTGCCATACTAATTAAACTGTCTCTAAAGGGACTTCTTGTCAAAATGACATTCGGGACCACACCAAGCCCAAATGGCCTGCTGGTGCATGTGAAGCCCTCACCTGCTTGATGTGAGCTTGCTAGCCCATTACCTGCACCCGTGATAGGGTTGGTTGTCTGAGCCTGGATGACATGCAAACCCACCATGAGCACAACCACTCCCACAACAGCCCACACACAAACCACCCTGGGGAAATCCGTGTGTGCCGTGTTCATACAACATGGCAACCCTCTGCAAGTAGCAAACCGCAATTGGTTGTCATGGCATGCAAACCCAGCCCATGAGTCTTTTATTAACATATAGGACGTAATTGTTAAGCATTCATTGTTGGAAGGCAGCATCTTTCAGTGTGAGATGTTGGGAGGAATAATGCAGTGGAGAGTTTTTTTGCCTTCGTACCTGGCTCTGTGATTCCAAGAAGCAAGGGCTGCACACTGCTGGAAACAGGATACTAGGCCAAATGCCTTTTTATTTGTCCCCGTTTTGATGCAGGGAATGCCCAGTGCTTGGGTATTTATGCTGCCTCAGCTGGTGACAGTGAAAGACAAGTGAAGAGGAATACGTCTGGCCGTTCTCAGCAAGCAGGTTCTGAACTGCCTGTACTGCTCGGGACGTTACTGGGACAAGCTGGTTCGCTTGAAAGCCGCTGCGAGCCGCTGCAGGAGCACCGGGTGGAGCCCACAGACAGGTGGGATGAGGCCACCCTTTGCAGTGAAGGCGTATACGAGACGGTGGTGCGCTTGGAGGAGCACGGCCATTGGTGTCTCGAGTGCGGCGAAAGTTTCCAGGATGCATTGGAGCTGGTGCGACACCAGAAAACGGCTCATACAGGCCGCAAGCGTCCCGAGTGCCCGGAATGCGGGAAGACATTCCGGGACCTCTCCCATGTCCTCCGGCACCAGACGGTCCACACTGGAGAGAAACCGTACGCCTGCTCCGAGTGTGGGCAAGGCTTCACCCAGAAACCAGCCCTGAACCGGCATCGGAGGAAGCACCTTGAAGACACAGGTTTGATGGGTAAGCAGACAGCTATGGGGCTCGCCCACCCCCAAGCAAAGCTGTGGGGCCGTTTGAGCTCATCTTTGGGAGAGGCCGGATTTCCTAGGTAGAATGGAAGAACTCACTAGTGGTGCCTGGAATTCTGCTCAGCCACATACTGCTTTTCTCCCAGGATTTCCCCCAAAAAGATGCTAGTTGCCATTTTTAATAGTTTTCATTGTATTTTAAGTGTACTTTGCCATTAGCCACCTTGCACTGGTTATGGAAAAGGTGGGAGAAAAACGGTTTAAGATAAAAGATATTTTAGGAAAGGAAAAGGGCCCTTACCTGGTGGAATTCTGAGCGCTGGCGGCGAGTTTCATGCCCTATCCTGATGCTGACTTCTTGCTCCTGAAAACGAACAGCAGGTTGGCATCCATTTTGCTTTTTCCTGGGATGAGGCACCTTTTTAAAGATGCACTTGCCATCTGCAATTTTCAGATGGACTTGTATTAAGAATACCTTTTGGAAGATTCAGTCTGCACCCTGATTAACTGGGGGCACCTTTTCTGTTCTGGTTAATGGAACTTCCATCCATTTACCGAGAATAATTCCCACCAAACTTATTGGAATGTGCTTTGAAATAGAAACGCATATAGGTTGCAGTCTCATGCATACTTACAAGAGAGTATTACTGTCAAGCATTATTTCTGAGTAAAACTGTATAAAGTTGCGCTCAGTGAGCTGGTTGTCTGAGGCATGTTATTTATGCAAAGAGGATCACAGTTCTCCCTTTTCAATCTAGGTGTGAGTCCACAGGCTGAATTCCCTTTAGGACAATATCTTGGAGACCACGTTGTAGTTGTGAGAACCAGGGCCAAAATATTCCAAACACTAGTATATTTCAGCTTAACATTTTCCTACTGCCAGCAATGAACCCTTAGGAGAGACATTTTCACCTTCTGTATTTTATGTTTTAAATATTGATTGATTGATTGATTGATTGATTTTCTATGCCGTCCTATTATATAAAAATCTCAGGCCGGCTTACAGTGCTTTAAAAGGACAATTTAAAACAACAACAATCTCCAATAAATGAATTAAAAACAAAACAATAAACAGTAAATTACAAAACAAAACAAGAGCGACTGAACATTAAAAGCTATTGATTTTAAAATGATGTTTAAATAAAAAGATATTGCCCTGGCGCTGAAAAGAGTATAAGCTCAGCGCCAGGCATACCTCTTTGGAAAGTACATTCCAGAGTCTGGGCGCCACCACAGAGAAGGCCCTACTCCGAGTTGATGACCCTTCTATCTCTCTTAGAGAGGGTTCCCGGAGCAGGGCTTCTCCCGCAGATCTTAAAGGGCATATAAGGAAGGAAATGTTCCTTCAGGTATTCTGGTCCCAAGCTGTTTAGGGCTTTAAAGGTCAAAACCAGCACCTTGAATTGGGCCCGGACTTCAACTGGAAGCCAGTGGAGCTGGTAGAGGACCGGCGTCATGTGAGAGTAATGGTAATAAAGGCCAGCCCAAAATAGCACCCCATTCCCATGGGATTTGGGCAGTTGACAAGAAATTAAAACCAACAATGATTAAAATTTGACTAAAAACAAACATCTTAAATAAAACTATCTGGGAAAGGAGAGATTGGGAGGGGGGGGGGAGAGCACAGCTCCTGGGGAACCACCAAACTGTCAGTGGTTGGAAGAAAGGACATGAGACCAGGAAAAGAGAGTGTAACCAACTGGGCAAGCTTGGAAGGCCCCATTTGAATCTCAGCAGGCCAGATCTGCCCTCAGTCACAAGGCTCTGCATGCCTGCTTGAGACAATCAAACCTGTCCCTAGTTATCTCCAGGAGCTTGGATTGGGAGATACTAGCGTGAAATGGACCTATCTGAGAGAGCAACTTTTTACATGCATCTTGAGTCTTTGTGAGCAAGGCCAGCCCAAAACTTGTTGCTGTCTGGCATGAAGCAGGAAATGATGCCTTACCTCAGCCCCGAAGTCAAGGTCTGCTCCCCCTGAAGCCAGTCAGATGATTTTGGCATCTGAGGCAGAAATTCAAATAAGCTTTTATCTCCAGACATCAATATGTGCTAGGCTGATCCTGCTCTTGTGTGAAAAATATTTAATTGTTCCATTATATCCCGCCATTTCTTTCAAGGCACCGAAGGCAGTTCTCCTAACTTCCCCCATCCCCATGTTATCCGTACAACAACCTTATGAGGTAGGCTGGGCTGAGAGTCTTTGGCCCAAAGTCACCTAGTGAGCATCCTGGCTGAGTGGGGACTAAAACCGGGATCTCCCAAAGCCCAGTCCAGCATTCTCCCTGCTAGGCCACACTGATTCTTCCTACAGCTTCCCACTGGTCATCGTTATTTAAAATAATAAATACTGTCTTTACCTTTAATCTGCCTCCCATTTGATATTAAACACCTGCTCTGTTGTTCAGTTTTTAAAACATCTCTGCAAATTAACGAATTGAATAAATGTCTCATTAAGCAACACCTGGGAGATTTGTTTGTTTGTTTAATTAATTTATATCCTGCCCCCTTAGCCTAAAAAGGCTTTCTGGGTGGGTTACAGGATTACAAAATTATAATAATATACATAATAAAAATAAATAATATTAGAATACAAATAATGCAATAATAAAATCCAAACAACATCATTATTTGTTTTTCGGCGCCAGGCGAAGACCTTTTTATTTAAGCAGCATTTTAAATGTTAATATTATTGAATTTTATCTGGCCAGGGCGGCTTATTTTATATTGTATATTTGTATTTTAATGTATATATTTTAAAATGTTATTTATGATGTTTTAATTTATTGTTGTAAGCCGCCCCGAGGCTTCAGCGAATGGGGTGGCATAAAAACGTTTTAATAAATAAATAAATAAATAAAATGATAAGATCTCATAATAACCTCAAATCTTGATCCATTTAAAAACACAATAAAAGGCACAATAGCACCAAGATGTGAAATATCACCATACATTTGTTGTTGTTGTTAGTCACAAAGTCTTGTCTGACCCATCGCAACCCATGGACAACACTCCTCCAGGCCTTCCTGCCCTCCACCATCCCCCGGAGTCCCCCTAAGCTCACACCAACTGCTTCAGTGACTCCATCCAGCCACCTCATTTTCTGCCTCCCCTTCTTCTTTTGCCATCTATTGTTCCCAGCATTCACCATATGTTATAAAACTTTAAAACTATCTTAACAATTAAAATATTGGGGAAATAAAAAGGTATTGATATAAACACTCATCCCCCTTCTTGCCTCCTGCCAAACAGGTTTTGAAACAGCTGTTAAACCTCCAAAGATACATACCGGGGGCCGCAAGCGTCCGGAATGCCTGGAATGCGGGAAGAGCTTCCGGGATGTTTCTCAAGTCCTGCGGCACCAGACAGTCCACACTGGAGAGAGGCCCTACAGCTGCATGGAGTGTGGGCAAAGCTTCACTCAGAAACCAGCTCTAAACAGACACAAGAGGAAACATCTGGAAGACCCCCACCATCCAGGTACAGGCCGGCCTCAAGACCCCTTTCACCTCTGCTTCGCAATCCACTTCCACAGGTTGTAATGGTGGCCACCCGTTTGGATGGCTTCTAGAGGCGATCAGACAAATTCACAGAGGACAAAGATATCCATGGCTGCTAGTCCTCATGATCATATGCTACTTCTGATGTCAGAGCCCATATGCCTAGGGAGCCCATTTGCTGGAGAACATGGGCAGGAGGGTCCTTGTAGATTGGCCACTGCATGAACGGCATAATACCACATACAATGGACCCTTGTTCTCATGCGACAGAGCTCTTTTTGTGGCCTTATGTTCTCCAGACAGTTGGGGGTGAGACAGATTGTGACCACAGGCAAGATGCCCTGCTATGGCATCTTGATGCTTCAACTTTCCTCTCTAACAGCTTGTCTGATGCCAAATGGACTGTCCATTTGCCTTCCGCCTGAAAATCTTTTTTGTTAATTGCCCAGGTATTTTGCAGTTTCAGTATTTCATTCCGATATGCATTCATATTGGCATTTTGGTTTTGTGCTAAATTATTTCATAGGAATTCGTAGAATCATTTGGTAGAGGCCTAGAAGACCATCAGGTCCAACCTCCTGCTCAATGCAGGACTCGTCTCCCATCCAAATACTAACCAGGCCTCGTCCTGCTTAGCTTCCAAGATTATGCAAGATCAGACACTTCAGGCTGTGGGGAAGCTAAATGATGTATTGTCATTTTCATTAGCATTTTATCTGTTGGTGTTGTGCCAAGTCCTACCCACCAACTCTGCAAAATTCTTTCACCTTCCCACCTCATGAAGGAAGCAGTCATTTTTCTGCAGCTTATGGGAGGTGCTCAGAGGTAGATTTTCCATGTTTTGCAGGGCTGGTGCTTGAACTTAATAAAATAACAAAGATATATTTTTAAAAACAAGTATTTGCTCCACTTTCTGGTGCTCCAGGGTCTCCCTGGATGGCGTGTGTCCCAGAACCCATGTTGGCCAGCTGGGGAGCTTGTCTGTGGAAATGGCAGAGGATGGAGCAAGTATTTAAAAAACATACAGTCTCTTAAATCAATTTATAAACTTGCCTTTCATCAGAAATGGTGCTCAAAAATGGCTACCAGTAATAGAACCAAGAAGAAATCAAGATCTTAGAACAAAGCAATTAAAAGCAGAATAAAAAAGCTTTAAAATGATAAAAGAAAGAAACCCCTTGGCTATTTCATCATGCTAATTATGAAGAAAATGTCATATCCCCACCTCACTTCCCCAGCAAATTTCAGCAAAGTTTTTCTGCCTCTCCAGAATTTCCAGGGGCATTTTCATCCTATACTAGCCCTCACACACACCTCTCAAATGGCCAGAAGAGATTTGGCCAGGAATAGCAGCTTGGTATGTGGTAGACACAGCAACCAACCAGCCGGTGGCTAGAGCGGGATTCTGCATCAAACCAACCAGATTCCTATTACCAGTATACTTTAATCCCCAAATTATGCACTACAAGATAATAAGCGTTTATTTCTTAGAAGCTTATGTGGGCCCAAACATATTCGCTCACAGATGAATGGGGTCCACTGTGTGTTGATGTGAAAGCTCTGAACTCAGCACTTGCGCAGTTGAGCTTCTAGGGTGCCACTGCTTTGCTATATAAGCCATTCTCAGCCTGGAAGGATTTTGGACTACAACCCCCATAATCCCACACTGACTGAAGCTGATGAGCCCTTCTGCACAAGGCGATTGCTTGTTTGGAGGTGCTCTTGCTGACGTCCTTTTCCTCCAGTGCCTCTCCTAAATTTCCAAGCATTTTTATGGGGATTTTGTTAGAGGAATGTCTGGTGTTTGGGGACATGGTGGGACACAACACAGGAGTGCTCCAGTGCGGAGCTATTTTATTTATTTATTTATTTTCTGGTTTATATCCTGCCTTTTTCCTACAAAGGGCTCAAGGCAGCTTACATCTCCTCCTCCATCTTATCCCCACAACAACAACCCTGTGAGGTAGGTTGGGCTGAGAGTCTGTGACTGGCCCAAAGTCACCCAGTTGGCTGAGCGGGGACTAGAACCCAGACCATCTGAGTCCCACTCCCATGCTCTTAACCACTACACCACACTGCCTCTCCGTGAGCTACCTTCTGGTGCTGTAAGGGAAAGGCAGAGAAGGAAAGAAACTGAAGGAAAGAGGGCCTGTTCTTCATCGCGTAAAGAATCCAGAAGCTGTGGAAAAGTGTCAGGTTAAAGGCTTCGTCCAGCACCCTGGGAAGGATGGTACATATTAACTGTTCTCTAAGAATGGATCCGAACCTAACCAATCAACACACTCACCCCGGGAGGAAATCTGAGTAAGTTGTGGGGAATCCTCAGTGTGAAAAGCAGAAAGCCAAAGCAGCTGTCAAAGAGAAACAATTTACCAAATGAAAATTCTCAGGCCAGTGGAGAAGATGCAAACCACCCATCCAGTGTTTTGTGAATTCCCGGTGGCACTGAGGGAGAAGGAAAGAAAAGTCTGCGCCCACATACAACGCGCACCGTAAATATTAGGGTGTTAATATATTAAGAGTATGAAGTTCTTCAGTGAGGCAGCAGAACCGAAATACACGTCCAGTCACTTAGTTTCTCATTGTCTTGAAATACAGTGTCTCCCGATGAATGCGTTTCTGAGCACATAAACAGAAATCTCCTTTTTGTTATCAGTTTCAAGCTTGACCTCTTCCATTTTTATTTCTGCACAGCCCAGTGGAACGGAGTGTGCTTCAGGGTGAAGGATCCTTGGCTGACTTTTGGGAGGATGGGGGGGGGGAACCAGGGGGGCAGAATGGAGTATCTCAGAAGAGAGTGTGGTCGGCTGGCTGGAATGTAAGAGCACTGCATCCTGCAACATTTTGTCGCAGGTTCTGCTTGTATGTCGCAATTCGTACCAGTTTTTTTGTTGTGCTCCAGGTCATGTTTTGATGGGAAAAGGCAGGGCAGAGATATTTTCATTCCTTTCCTTAGCCATGCACAAGGCTAATTCCCACTGGATTCCCTCTCTTTCTTTCCACAGGCAACGGAGAAGTACGTGGGCACCGAGAAAATGGCAGCATGGAGCTGCCAAGGTGGCGGCACAGGTCCCTGGAAACGTCACCGGAGAGCCTTTCAGGTGCCTTTGTGGCCAGGTGTGCTGCGGAAAACTGGCCAGTGCGGAATCAGCATGTTCAGCATGAGGAGCCCTTGCTGAGCGTGGTCGGAGGACTCGGAGTCATGAAGAAAAACCTGAGTCGTCGGGGGCAAAAGAAATACTGGTGCTTCGTCTGCGTGAAAGGCTTTCGGGACAAGGCAGACTTGGTGAGGCATCAGAGAATCCACACAGGAGAAAAACCCTACATGTGCCTGGACTGTGGGAAGCGATTCAGCTACACCTCGAGTATGTACAAGCACCAGCTCACCCACAGGGAACCCGCCAATCTGCAGGCAAAAGAATTTGCAGGGGAGCACTTGATCCGAACGCTGAACTTACCTGAAGAAGAGGATGGGGTGGGGCTGAGCAACGGCATCCGTGTGAAGGCTGAGGGGCAGGACAGGATGCCTCACCTGGGGCCGGTCCTTCTAAGAGTCGGACACCTTTCAGAGAGATGAAGCAGATGAAGCGTCCGCACAACACTTCAGAAGAGCCATCCCAATGGTCATCTCCAGTTTATTCACACTACTGGTGTGTACATATATGTAAAGATGTTTTCTTAGGATTTGCCATAATTATTATATTACTATTAATTATTATTATTACAGTAGCACTGGACTTGGGAGACGTGTGTTGCACATCTTATGTCATTACTCCGTTTAAATAAAAGGCTAAACCGATTGCAGATCATATAATTTGTTGTTCTTAGCAATAGTGTGTGCTTCTTTGCAGACCCCAGGTGCTCAGCTGGGATCTGACAGCCGGCCTGAGAAAACCCAAGACTTGCAGAAGGACAAAAAACCTTTAGGAAAAACCCTGGTGTGGGGATACTCAAAGCAGCCCAACGAAGACTGAGCATGCTCAGTAGGCATGGATGCCTCACGGTGTTGGAGGTGGGAAAGGAGAGTGGAACAAAGCTGCTGCCGGAATCCTGAACAACAGCAAAGCTCCCGCTGCAACATTTTGTTGCAGTGTCTTGCTGATATCTGGCTGAAAACAAATTGCAAGCTTGAGGGAGATGAGCTATGAGTGAAGCAACCTTCCTACTTTCTTCTGGCATCTAAAATCTGTGCGGATGTTTGCTGTTGTTTGTGAGGAGCTGGTCCATGCATCCAAGCACTCTTCATGTGATGTGACCTGCAGAATTGTAACCAGGGTGGGACAATAGGAAACGTGACCCTGGGTGAGAAATGCAAAAGGGGCAATGCTTGCATGCCCAGCAGAGGGGCAGGGGAACCTTCACAGGGGTTTCAAAGGTATTTTGGACTGCGTGTATCCCAGCGGTAAGAGGAGGGGATAACACAGAAGATGCAAAAACAGTCAGATGCAAGGAAGGGGGGGGGGGGAGGAACCAACAGGAGAGGAGTTGATGTCCTTGAATGGTGGGCCTGAGCCACAGCACATGAAGAAATTAGAGCAGTGCCTCTGTCCCTATGAAGAGCATACTTCCCTGGATCCCTTTACCCCCATGAGCATGCGCACACACATACAGAGCATTGAACAAAGTATGGACACTCATTAGTAAACTGAAATTTGGAAGGTTTATTTAGGTTTCAAAGTGAAGCCGTCACCCACCCTCACCCATAAATCGATCAATAATGCCTTGTCATGACAGCTCTCAAAATTCCTGACCATTAGCCATGTCAGCTGGGGTTGAAGTCCAAAATTCCAGTGGGGGGGGGTCAGGCTGAAGATGGCCCATGGGTCCGTCACAGGCCATTCAAAGCGGCACAAGCGGCTGAAGGACCGAGCAGATGACCTCTCCCAGAATCCTCTGAGACTGGGAGGAGAAATTTGCTGCTCTCTCACTTCCTCTTCTCAACCTCAGGTAGTTTTCCTAGATGACTTTGATCAATGGGCTAGTGGCCATCTTGGAAATGCAGGTGTTGGCCACAAATGTTACTATGGCTATGCAGCAAGGTCCAAAAATGTAGGGTGCTGTGTTGACCCATATCGAGTTCTTTGTTTATGTCATTTCTATACCATTCAGTAGTCAAAGCTCTCTAGAGGGTCCACAACACCATGTCCAGAAACCTGTAGTAACAGTTGCTCATCTCCACTCTGAACAGATCTTTGGTAAAGAGAACGGCTCCTCCTCATGCATTCGAGACCAAGAGTGCCAGTTCCAGATCTTGAAGGCCTGTGGCCAACAGCCTTCAGGATACCCTCAGCAACCAGGTTCAGACAACACAACCCCTTCTGCCTCTTTGATTTTTTACAGTTTTAAAAAAGCACTTTGCAATGTTGCCTTTTAAAGGCCCGCAGAGCAGATGCCCCTGCTTGCCACTTTCTTGGCAGCCTTGCTCCTGGCCAAATGTTTGGCTGGACATTTATTCAGCTTATATTCCACTATACCAGTCCAAAGACTCTCCAAGCAATGTGCATTTTGACCATGCACTTTGGGCCAGGTCAGTTCCCCAAGGGCAGGACCTTGGCCCACAAAACTGAGGGCTGGATTCCTCTTCAGCTTTTTATTATCCTCAGTTGCGTTATTGTTTTTGCTTCCTCTGTTTGGGCATGGAGCATTGCACCCAATGGCCTTTGCATCTCTTTCACTGACAACCCTGAAAATGTGGTTCATGTGATCAGGAGTGGTGCGGTGAAGTGGTTAGAGTGAACTGGGAGAGGGCCGCAAGGTGGGTGGGAGAGGCAAATGCAATGGAGTATCCTAAGGAAGGCGTAGCAGGTTGTCCAGCTGGAACCCTGACCAGGAGAATTTCATAGGCAGACATTTTGTTGTGGGTTTGTATCAGGTCACAATCCTTCTGTGGCCAAAACAGTCACACCACAGCTTGGAGTTTCCAAGATCTGAGCAAGAACAGGACATTTTGGATTGCTTTCATAAGTCAGAGATGATTTGAGAGCATGTAACAAAAACAACAACCTTGCAGTGTTGGCGAATAGCTTTTCCCTCCCTTTGTGACAAAGCTCCCAGAATTCCCTCCTGCATCCCATCACAGTTGCACTGGGGCTTGTCCATCCCCCATCTTGTTGCCCTGAGATGCTTGCAAGTGCAGCCCCCAAAATCTCTAGCCGTTAACCCAGCTGGGGCCGAAGTCTGGGAGGCACCAGTTCTGAGAAAGTTTTGGATCAGCCATGCAAGCACTTTCCCTCAGAGGGCAAAGGCGCTATTCCTTGAACAGGGCAGCCTCAAAATGTGTGGGACAAGAGCTCCCAAAATCCCCAGCCATCACAGCTGGGTGAGGGATTATGAGTTGTAGTCCAACCCATCTGGGGAAGTGTGGCCGAGGGGCGTGGAAAAACCAGGGTCTGACAAAGCCAGGGGAACACGTCTGCTAGAAGCTGGGGAGCCCGTGGTGTTTCCTGTTTCCTAGTGCTGTGCTCGGTAATCAAGGGGTTTCCAGAGATGGGATGGGGGGCAGAGTTTGGGGCAGCATGCAAGAAAAAAGGTGGCCTGTTTGAAGGAGACTGGGCTCGTCCTGCATGCTGATGACTGACACGGGAGTGTGTCCCCAGGATCAGATCAGAAAAAGCACCCCTTGCATATGAGGAGGGACCTCAGCTCTCTCAAACACAGCCCTGATGAAACCCAAAGGCGGACCCCGAAAGCATCTCGGCACGAAAGTCGCAAGTGTGTCTGGCAGCGCTCACCTTGTACACAAGGGGAGAAGCCCCCTCCTTGTCGCTGCCGGTCACGCGGTGCTGCCCCTGCGCCCTTCGCCTTCCTGGGGTTAAGGGGGAATGGCGGCCCAGGCAGCTTCTGTCCTCCCTTTGCGGCCACCCCGAGCGGCCCAGATCCCCTCCTGGCCCACCACCGTTGCATCGGGGCGCACCCACCCGCCTTCCCCAATCGACCCCACCTGCTTTGCATTGCCAAGCAGGGCTCCGCGAAGCATTATGGGCAGGCCTTGGAGGTGCCCCCGGATCTGATCAGGAAAAGCAAAGCGTCCCGGCACGCGATCTGGCCCCGCTCTCTGCAAGGCTGTCCCGATGTGGCCGAAAGGGCACCCTCGGTGGGGCAGTCCGGGATCCCGAGGGAGTCCAAAGGGCCCCGCCAAGAGCATCGCGCAGAAGCACAGACCGTCGGAAGGGGCCTCCCAGGCCATCTAGGCGCCCGTGGGCCAGAAAAGGTTCAGCGCCCCTGGAGGGACAGGCGGCTGACGCGGAGGCCTTGTGCGCGGGAAGCAGGTGCTGCGGGACCAGGTGCGGTGGGGGGAGGGACTCAGCCCCGAGGAGTGGGGCAGGGGCAGGGGCGCCTGCCCGTGGTATGGATTCGGGAGCAGAGCTGCCTGCTTTCCCTCTGTTGTAACCCCCCTCATAATCAAGCACGTAGCCAGGGCATAGCTCATCACGAGTATCAGGGTGTCCTGTTCGCGTGAGAACAAGAACACGAACACGGATGTGCACGCTACGCAAAGCTGACAACAAAGCAGGCTACGCTCCAGCATTACCAGTATCACCGCAGGCGTTATGCCCTTGTACCCACGCTTGCTTGCTTTGCATGATAAATGGGAAAAATGTGCTCTCCCCCATTGTTTCTCTGTTGTTCCCCTTTTGTTCGCTGTCATTCAAGCATAAAAGAGTATAAAAATCAAATGTCTCTCCTCTGCCTGCTACCACACTCTCACGAGTGCATGGTCCCTGCCGGCAGGTAAAATAAATCCCTTTCGATAATTCCAACCAGTCTCTGGTCTCGTCCGTAAAATCGCGCCATACAACACCCTCCCCTCCCGGCCCAGGCGCCTCGCTCCTTCTCTCCTCTTGGCTTGCCCGGGACAGGAAGGGGCCAGCCCGGCAGAAGCCGCGGGGCTCTCTCGGTCAGCGCGGACCAGCCGCTCGCTCTCGGCCTGGCCATCCTCACAGGGGCGTTGTGAGGGTCGGGCGGAGCGGCGCCGGCGGGCTCTGCAAGCCGCCTTGCCTTCCCCGAAGGATGGAGGGGAAACAGAGAGGCAGCGAGACCACCCGCTGCGGGCTCGCTTGCCCGGCAGCGAGATCCCAAGGACGAGGCAGCGGACGCGACCGGCTGCAGGGCGCGCCGGGGTCGCCCCGCCTAGGGCAGCTGGCCCCTCCAAGGGCGCCAGGGCTCCGGAGGGTTAATTTGGGGGCGACCCCCCACCTTTGGCCGCCTGGCCAGTCCGGGCGGGGCGGGGCATTCCCCGCAGCTGCTCCGGCAGGCCGGGGGAAGGTGGCGGCGAAACTGGGGCGCCCGGAGGTTCGTCCCCTCCTCGTCGCGCCGGTAAGTCCCTGTTGCTCCGCTGCTTCCCGCCTCTCGCCGATCCCCCGTTGTCCGTCCGAGTCCCGCCCTGGCGGGCTGCGGGGTCCCTTCCCGCCCTGGCGGGTCGCTCTCCAGCCGCGTTTCTTTTCCACGGTGCAGTCAGCTGTCAACCTGAATTTAAAAAGGACTAATTGATACTTTCATATAAAGTAGAGTTTCTGCAATACAACAAATATAAATAATAGTCTGGTGAAATATTGAACAAACATCCCTCTCCCAATGTGATAATGTCACTGGAATTTTTATAAGAATCTTCTTAAAACAAGGAAGTAGATCTATATCTTCATTATGATTTAGCTGCAGCTCTTGTTCAGTCACTAAAAACTGTTATTTTTAATCTTACATTATAAACTAGTAGGATTCCTTTCCTATATTTTGAATAGAACAGCTTCCTGCAGAGTCAAAGTCAGTGCTAAAGGGCTGCATGCATTAAACAGTAAGCCC